CCAACAACTGTGCCAAGTTTGGAAGAAATTGGTGCAGCGGTTACCAAGATATACACATGTAACCATAAGTGGGCGTGGCTACGCCCATTTTCCAAAAATTTATAATATTCTTATTTTTTGTCTAATACTTATTGTAAATATCAATGTTGAGTGAATAATCTTCAGTAGTTAATAAAATATCGCCGTTTTCGTATTTCTGAAAATTATCGTTATATGGGAGGTAGGCGTGGTTATTGTCCGATTTTGCCCATTTTCAATACCATCCGTCCTACGCCCGAAAGAAGTGCACATACCAAGTTTCGTTAAGATATCTCAATTTTTACTCGAGTTATCGTGTGCACAGACGGACAGACGGACGGACGGACGGACGGACGGACAGACAGTCACCGCTTAATCGATTTCTCTTTTCATTCTGATCATTTATGTATACATTTGTCTATATCTATCTCGATTCGTTTTGCCTGTTACAAACAACCGTTATGTGAACAAAGTTATAATACCCTTGTGCACAAGTGCGCTCGGGTATAAAAAGTACGACTGACAACGGCGAGCCCTGTGGGATTCCATTTGAGAGTGGGACTAATGGAGAGTAAACATTATTTGCTCTTACTCGAAGTTTCCTATTTGTTAAAAAACCTTTTACGTAATTGTACATTTTTTCACCTATTTTCCATTCTATAAGTTTTTTCAAAACAACATGTACTCCTATATTATCAAATGCGCTTTGGAAATGAATTGCTAGTACAGAAAGGTGGTTTTTTATTGAAAAATTTTTACTTATCAGATGGTCAATATATAGGAGAGCATCTGTTGTGCTTGATCCCTTTTTAAAACCAACTCGGTGTTCGGAAAGCAAATTTGACGAGTTGAGGTACCACATTAGTCTATTTGCTACCATTTTTTCTTGCAATTTTCCTAAGCACGGCAGTAGGGATATAGGCCTATAGTTTTGGATGTAGTTGTTGTTTTTATTGGGTTTGAGTATGGGTACAATTGTTGCTACTTTAAAGTTTTGTGGTATAATCTTATTTTCATAAGACTGGTTGTATAGTGCAAGTATTCGCCTTTTAATGTCAATAGGAGAGTTTGCAATCATTTTATACGTTATCTTATCATGGCCTGGCGTTGTACCCCTGGAATTCCTCAAACCTGCTTCAAGTTCCTCAATTGTGAAACTAGTTTCTAAAAAGAGTGAGTTCTTATTGGGAGAATAATTAATTTAAGCGTTTAATACACTATTTTTTCAGATTGGAATCGTATTGGAAAATTTGACGGGTCTGAATTGGAAGAATAATGATGAGCGAATGCCAGGGAGATATTTTCTTTATTGGATACATTGTTGTTGTTAACTAAGATATTTTTGATTCCAAAAGGTTTGTATGTACCCGAAAGCAGATGTATCTTTTTCCAAATGTCGCTTACCGGAGAGGATGGGTTGATCGTTTTTGTGAGGTCTTCAAAGGCTTTCGTTTTTGCTATTTTCTTTTCTCTGAAGAACAGAGCATTGTTTTTTTTATAGTCTATAAGATTTTCTATATTTTGCAACCTACGGTAACTTTTCCAGGCGTCTTGTTTTGTCTGCCTTAATGAATTAAGGTAAGGATTCCACCAAGGGACGTTTTGGCTAGTCTTTCTGCGCACAGTCTTCGGAATGGATACATTGGCAGCGTTTCTTAATATCTTTTGTATTTGCCCTGCTTCTTTATTAATGTTTGAAGAAATTGGATAGCCGTTGTTCGTTGCAACATTTTGAAATTTTCGCCAATCTGCACGGTCACAGCTAAACTGGGTAGTGGAAGAAGTTATTTGTTTTGAAAGGT